AGAATGAAAACTTAGGCCAAAATGGTGGGTTTCGTATAATAGTATTAGGCGCCGGTCGTTGAGGGAAGGTTTAAGTTGTTGTTAAACATGAAAATGTATGGCAAATGGTGGATGTCGTATCTTGGTGTTATCCAGGTTTTATAGTGGAATGGTACTTCCCGTCGGCTCAGTAGGGGGGGGGGGGGGGGGGGTCAGGTTGTCATGTCAGCTATTTTAATAAGGTGTTTCATTAGCCACTGAGGACCATTTGGGCCTCCTATGACTTTACAAAGAGGAAAAAAGCAAAAACGTATGACACACTCTGGGTGTCGTCCAGCAGAGTTATCTACTAGTGGCCCAGTAAGAGGAGTCATATTGTCGTGTCAACTAGTTAGATGTGGGATGCTAGAGAACCTGGGGCACATGAAGCGATGACTTTGTATACAACAAAATTTGACAACTGAGTAATTTTGGTTGGTTTCATGACACAATATTAGATACAAGTGTTCAGTGAGAGGGTCAAGTTCTCGAGTCCACTAGTAAGAGGAAGGGTTTATAGGCCGGTGGACACCATAAGTCGCACAATGTAGCTCGCAATTTGGTCACTGATCTTTGCAAGTGGTTCACTGATATTTACCGAACGATTCGATGTCTCTCTCGTTTGGGACACTTTTTCATTTGGTCACTGATTTTGGTAAGTCGTTTACCAAAGTCTTCTCCTCGTTAATCCCTTACACACACACACACACACACACACACACACACACACACACACACACACACACACACACATATATATATATATAATATTAGGAACAGCAAGAACATATCAACACTAACAACTAGAAAACATTTATTGTATCCAAAATTACCAAAATATGTTACATCATCACATAGAGTACGTTACGATAAACATTACTTAACTGGTAACAATAATACAGTGATCATTCAGTCAAACACAATACACGCCGGGGCACCTAATATAACCAAACCAATTGGTTTGAACGGAGTTTCTGGGGCCTGTCCCCGAGTGATCCTCATTCGAATGGTGACACTTTGTGTCACCGGGGGTTTATCGCTCGGTGTGATGTCCAAGTGGGGTTGAACGTCAGTCAGTCATTTCTTTGAGCAGCACTAGCGAAATGGTTGGGCTATGCGTTGCTTAGCCGAAGGGTTTGGGCTCGAATTTGTATATAGGCGGCTTTTGATAGCTAACAAAGGATTGCGACGCGATCTAAAATTAGCACCTGTGAAAGGTGTCCGCGGCGCAAGCAATGCAACTGGGATTCTTAATTCCCAGGTGCTGGGTTGGATCATCGCTACGGCCGATTTGGCAGAAGACCGCCTTGTGTTGGTTTCGACAGTGGTATCGAGAGCCTACCGTTTGGTAAGCCGTGGCAAACTACTGAACGTAAATTTACCTAATGAAATCACAGTCGACGAATGCTACGGTTGGTTCTGTAACGTCATGTAAAGAATATGCAAGTAAAGGGGACGCAAGTAAAGTAAAAGTAAAGAACCTTTTCCCACACTTTTAAGGGTATAAGGCATATAGGGCTAGACCTATATTTTATAAACCAATCGGCACAAGATGGATGATGTGGTCAGCATCACTCCGACCGCCTTTACTTCCCGGGACTGCACCCGGTACCCACTCAAGGTTGGGTCGACCTGGAAGCCAAGGTCAATTTTGACAAAAGTCCGGCACCGCCAGGGAGCGAACCCACGACCTCCCGATCCACATTCGAACGTCTAGCCGCTTCGATACAGCGACTCCCTATACGCATGTAACTAGCTCGTTTAAAAAAAAGTAGGGTGGATAACCTCACTCATCGAGTGCTAACTGGAATATAACTATACTGTTTTATAGTCTGCTCTATAAGTAGTGCCCAACTTAAAAAATCTGTAACTCAGTCAATGTTCTGTGTAAGCTATTGAAATTGGAATCTATTAATAATCATGTGCTTATAAGAATTTCTTTTTGTGTATAGAAACGGTTCTTTATTAATATCCTATCCCAGATGACGTCACAGGACAGTCCAACATTTTAGAGAGTGGTAAGACTGGGTTTCCAGGCTTTCTGATGCCTTTAACAACCCCAAAACATCTAGAACTGGCCCTAACCCTAACCCACTTACGTCCAACGAAAGAGTGCAGCCTAGGTCCCACGAATGCATGCAGCCTATCTACCACCCCCTAAAATATTATACGCTCCCGTGACCTGTGGATTTCCCCTGTTTGGGGTAAGATAAAGCACCAAAGTAGCATCTAGTTTTTCACCTTTTCTCATTTGCGGTTGCTTTAAAAAATAAAAATAAAAACAGTCATATCTTCTTCCTCGTTTTCTTCCCTTTTACCAGGTGTAAATTCTGGCAGTTCTGGTTGTTTATTCACTTCTCAATTGTAGTCTCGTTCAAGAACATTGGTGTTGCCTGTACATCCGTTTTACATACCTATTATTTTAGTATGCAGACTGTTGGTTTCTTGTCTTTCAGGCAGATGTACACAGAAGAGATTACGTCCATGGAAGCCCCTACTCCAGTTAACTGACTCTTAGGACTTGCTTGTTAAAGAGGCAGGTCGTCTGCTATTGTTTTCCGTACAGTGCGGCGCCGAAACCCACAAAGTTTAAATTTAGGTGTATACCTAATTTCAGTTGAAAGTTTTCACCTGATTATTCACATTTTAAAGTTTGATTTATAAGAATTTATCTTACAATCCAAATTTCTAGATCTAATTTAAAGGGGGTGGGGGAGGGGGGGAAAGGAATATTAATATTTTGGACTGCATTTCATGTAAATAATACATATAATCTAATTGTCGTAATTTATAGGTTAAATACTTTATATGGAACATACAATCTCGTCATAGACTTTTTTTTTTTTTTTTTTTTTCAATTTATTTGAGTGACACAATCTGTTTTTCTAGTAGTTTATATTGATGCGTCTAATTTACAGTATAACTTCGGTTCTTGGCAAGTTTTTGCTTTAGACACAAGTCAGCTGTTGCATTTTCCTCCATATGTAGACTAAAAGGATATAGTATTATCGCTCGGATACTGAGTTGAGGGCGTAGGAAACAGTTCTTTGCATTATCTTTTTCTATCCTTTCTTTCCTTTTTTTCCTGTTTTAGTTTTAATTTTTCTAGTTTCACTCCAGTCACCATATTTCAATAGCACAGAATGGAAGGCCTTGGCTTGATTTGGTTGAAAAGGGGCAGATGAAGACGAAGGTCTTAAGATTTTCCCGACTGACAAGCAAAAAACACGAATACATTGCATACCGTTTAAGGTGAAGTCGGATGTGACGAATTTCTTTTGTGAAGAACAATTTTTCTTGCTTGAATTCCTATCAGTGTAAAAAAGAATTTAGATAAGAAGAACCATTTCTTGGGTTCCCGGTGAGTTCTCCTTATCAGGTCGGCGCTGTCTTAATATTACTTCTTCTGGTCACAAAATAACGAAAACAAAGTTGGCAGTAAAATAATGCAGTTAGTCACATAGTTGTGAGTGCTTCCGTACACAATAATTGTTTATCAAATGCTCTTGAGATTGTTTACAAACTAACGAACAATTTATAGTAAAATGACCCTGTGGTTTCCCATACAATGGTGAATACTTAGTTACAAAATCATTTTGTTCTCTTCGCACATAATTTTGAAAAATTATGAACATAATGAACTTGCTCTCTGCACACGATAATAAATAATTAGTAACAGAATAATGTTGTGTTTCGGCACAAAATATGAGTTACTACATAATCATATTTAATTTCTGCGCATAATAATAAACTGTGTGCCTCTGCCCACATTAATGTATAATTAGTTACACAAGGATTGTGCCCCTGCATACAATAATGAATAATTAGTTACATAATTATCGTGAGTTTATGCGCACAATAATGAGTCTTTATTACAGAAGGGTGTTATGTTTCTGCATACAATAATGAATCATTATTTCAAACAAAATAAAAGCTTTTAAAAAAGAAGAAGGGGAAAATAAGTATCAAAATCCAAAGCAAACTGTGACCTAGACAGACCAACAAACATTTTCAAACAAAATAAAAGCTTTTAAAAATAGGAGGCGCTACGTATTTTTTTCATAATTTTCTCTGTTAATATTGCTAACAGTGTGTGAAGTATATAGATATTACACCGTGTATTTGTCATAACTAGGCCTATAAGTGTACGAATGATAAAGATTTCCACCTAATTTACGGAGGTTATTTGTGTTACAGGTACGTTTTTATGATACAAATTTCCCAGATTTCTGGACCGGGAGACTAATGGTTCCGTCATCGAGCTACTGAGTTGAGTGCTTGGTGTGACACCGTGCGCTGTGGTTGTTTGTTCCCCTCCAGCATTATAATCTGTAGGGTTAACATCTCAAGGCTGAGAATTAAACAGGTTAAAAATTCAGGAACACCCCTTCCGCCATACATCACAGTTACTGTCACACGGATGTTGTTTAATCAGTGTAGGGGGGTTGGGTAAATAGTTCGTTGAGTCAGAGACTCTACCTCTAAGAGAGCCAATCAGATCACACCAACTTACATATTGTGTTATTTCATTTTCTTGTCCCCGTGTGGGTCCCGGGGCCCTGTTGTAGGGAAAACAAGAATAGGCCCACTGCCTACCCCAAAGCATGTCGTAAGAGTCGACTAATTTAGAACTTCCTTCAAAGTCGGAGTGCATTTGCTTGAGAAACAAAAAACTAGCAGTCTGCATACAAATGAGTCAGATCTGTAAAACGGATGCACACGCAACACTTAGGTTCTGGAACAGGAGTGCAGTCCAGAATTGGATAAACAGCCACAACTTTCCACTAGAGTTTACAGCTGGTGAACGAGAAGAAGAAGAAGAGAAACATTTTGTTACGTTGTGAAAACCCTAAGATGAACGTTGACAAAAGAGGCGCAAGCTGTTGGGCTGGATTTAATCCATATTGAACTGATAACACAGGATAGAAAGGAATGATATCTCTATTGATATGAAAAGTTATCATGATATTTAAACATCTCACCGAAAGCGGCCTGGACTGTGAACACCTGTCTTGACCTTATTGATGGCTGCCTCAGGTCTGGAAACACCACACCATATCTGGGTCATCGAAGATACAAATGTGTTAGCTGCGTTTGAAAGTGTGAACACTGGATCAACATCATGGAACACGGGTAAGTGTGCACACCCATTAGTGCTCCGTCCTTCTTCTAACTCAAGCCTGAGTTCGAAGACGTTCAACATAGTGCACAGGTTCTGTAGCACCGGCAAGAATCCTGAAATACTTTGGATAGATTTTTAACAACAGATTTTGCCCGGGCAGCGCCATAAGGCTACTCTTTTTGATTTCCAACTGTCAAGGGATTTTTTAACCAGCGCAGCAATGCAACACGGGCGTCCGATCTCACTACCCAGAGATCAGATGAGTTACTAAAAATACAAGTCCACCCGAAAATAATCATAGCCCTTACAGGGGATTGAACCCGGAACCTCTAGCACTCGAG